GAGCATGTTTGGGGACCAAAGAAGAGGTCCCTGAAGTAGCAGGGAGAGCCCCAGAATGCACACATAGCCTAGGAGTAGGGGGTGGGGGAGGGAGTGGGCTTGTTTATTGCAGAGAGAAAATGTCCACAGTGCAGACTTTGAACTGGTCCAGAGGACAGGCTGAGAAGGGGACATTCCAGGGACAGAGAGAGTTTTTGTAATGCCCAGAGGCAAGAGTAAGTGGCTTCTAGAGGCAGCAGATACCAGAAGCTGGGGAACAGTGGCTGTGGAGACATGAATGGGTGATCCTCAGAGAAGATTGGGTTGAGGGTAGAGAGGCAGGAAAGCCAGTGATCAAAACACCCATGGGTGCAGACAGAAACACTAAAAACCCATGAACTCCTAATGAACTAATTAGAAATAATCCCAGAAAAGCCTTCTGTTTCTAGTGAAAGGACCAGGGAAAGAGACTCTGAGTGAAATACAGCAGTATACTGCCTGGACCAATTACTCCAGAAAAGCTCCTAGCAGAGTCAGCTAAGGCCAGAGGATCTGGGTGAGACTGTAGTGGTGTGCTCTTTCCATCAGGGAAGCTGGACTTTCATCCCAACTGAAACCCAAGCCTCTCTGCTCCATGTTCCCACGTCAGTCTGAACTGTGGGTTATCTTTCCTAACTGCCTGTGTTGTGCCCTCGGAGGCTTGGTGGGAGTTGGGATTTCCACCATGCTGTTGGTGGAGACTACAGTAGGAGCTGGAACTCTAGCTCCATCTCAGCAGCAATAAGGAGTCCCCGCCCACCTTAGGCATCAGTGGAGGCTAAGTACCAACTCTATACTTTCCCTCCAACTGACAGTCAGGAGCCACCTGCCCTGCCACCCAGAGTGGTCTCAGAGAACACTGACTCAAATAACAAATTTTAGGGGAATCCGCATGTTCCCCAGATGCCTTTGGGACTCTCTTGTCATACCAAGAACCAAGAAGTTTTCAACATGAATGAAAAAAAAAATCAATATGGCCTACATTCAATCCCTAGCATTCATGTAAAAAAGTCAGGCATGGTGACATGTGTTTGTAATCCCAGGGCTGGGGAGGCTGAGACAAGAACGTGGTTGGTGCTTGCTGAGTAGCCAGCCTAGAAGAGTCAGTGAACTCCAGGTTCAGTGAGACTCTGTCTAAAAGTTAAGGTGGAGGGGAACTGGGGAAGATAACTGACATCAGCTTCTGACAGCCACACATGTACAGCATATATGCATGCACACACACACACACACACACACACACCCCACATACTCACCAAAAAAATTCAATCAACTATCATAAAAATGCTCCCATGAGTAATTATGAACATGTTGGAAACACATGAAGACATAGAAACCCTCAGCAGAGAAATGAGTGAAGTAGCTCATGTGTGCGATGGTCCATACAATCCACAGCACCATAAAAAACTACGCAAAGGAAAAGCTCCAGACTTTGCAGACAGACCTGGTGTGAATCTTCCTTCTGTTGTGTCTCTGGGCAAGCTATTGAACTTTTTACCCTGTAGGGCAAATACCAGATGCAGGTAGGTGATACATCATGGAAGAGGAAAGGGAGGCTCTGAGCAGTCACTTGGCCTGAAGGAGGAGATAGGAAGAAAAGTTAGAGGAGAGAGGCACAGTTGCAGGAGGGTCAGCATGCCAAAAACAGGAAAAGACTTAACTGTTGTAGCAGACTAGCTGAAAAGCCCTTAGGGTTGGCGTTCAGGTCTTCTGTGCTGATAGTGATGTCAATTCAGTGGAGTGTGGGCCCAGATGCAATGCTGAGAAATAGGTGTGGGTCACTGCTCTTAGAACAGTGGCATCAAGGTGGGAAGGGACTCTAGGGACTCTAGGAGTAGAGTGGAAGGTGTTATCTAGCAAGGAGGGCCGGGCCGTTTCCACCTCTGGGTTCGTGGAGATGGTGCTCTATGCACACAAATGTACAAATGTATCTTTGACACTCTGTTATTCTGCCAGGTGTGTACTCAGAAGTGTACATTGCAGTATAGCTGCTGGACCTGTTTTTAGTATTTAGTGGGAGCCTCACACTGCTTCCCATGGCATCTGTACCGCTTCCCATCCCCCAGCAATGCAGAAGTTCCAGGCTCCCCACATCCTCTCCAGCACCTGTGATTTTTATTTGCTATGTTGACACAGACATCCTGAGAGATGTCAGATGATGTCTTGTCATAGCTTTGACACATCCAATGAAGAAAAATATGGGTTATACATATTAGAAAAATATAGTGTTTATATGTAATACAGTATTATTGAACCTTAAAAGGGAAGCAACCCTATCGTATGCTACAACATAAACAAACTGAAGAACATTATGCTCAGTGAAACAGAAGAACATATACCATATAATTCCGTTTTTATGAGGTGGCTAAAATAGTCTTACAGGAGTAATGAATACAAGGGTGGTTCCAAGGCTGGGGTAAGGCTTGAGGAAACTATAGTTTAATGGGTATGAAGTTTCAGTGATCATAGACATTTAAGTTCTACTAGAGATTTATGGCATATATATGCCTATAGTTAATAAGGTGATATTGTAGCCAGGAGATGGTGAAACATGCCTTTAATTTCATCACTTGGGAGGCAGAGGCAGGTGGATCTTTGAGCTCGAGGCCAGCCTGGTCTGTAGTGTGAGTTTCAGGACAGCCAGGACTAAACAAAGATACCTTGTCTCAACAAAACAAACAAAAAACAATCTTCCCCCCAAAAAAACCCCACCAAAACAAAATAAAACAAGATGTGTGTCCTTCTACATTTGTGCAGAGAGTGGATCTCATGTTAATTTTTAAACAATTTTTGTTTTTGGGTTTTTTCCTTCCTTCCTTCCTTCCTTCCTTCCTTCCTTCCTTCCTTCCTTCCTTCCTTCCGTCCTTTCTTCATTCCTTTTGCACAAAAATAAAGGGACACTAGGAACCCTTTGGAAGAGTAGATCTCATATTACCTTGAATTGGTGATGGAATTCCAGGTATTTACAGAGTTCAAAGCTCATCAAAATAGACACATTAAATATATGCATATCTTTGTATATCAATTATACCTAAGAGCTGGAGAGAGGGGGAGGAGGGAGGGAAGGGAGGAGGGGCAGTCTGTCCTGTGGGAGAAAGGTGGTCTCAAGAGCAAGGTGGGAAACCCTTCTTCCATGCAGACGGGGACTGTGCCCAAGGCTGCCATGTCTGTGAAAGCACCGCCACCCCTCCATTCAAAGGAAAAAACAACAGAGGAGAATCAGAACTTGCACAGGCTGACTATATCCTATTCACAATGATGGAATTTGTGGTGCTGTTTTAAAAGGTTGGTTCTTGCTTTTTTATATTGGCACTAACTTGTTTATAGTTTACCCCAGGTGGAATCCAAGAATTATTCCTTTGTTCTTCTAGAAAGAGGCTCCAAAACAGGTCTTTTAGGAATTGGAGTGTGGTGTCAAGCCCGCCTATGTTTGTTCATCATTGACTAGGTGTCCTCCAGTTAATGTCATTAGTCATTTGGGATGGTGAAGCACTGAGCAGCATGCTAATGAGTCCTTACTGGAGAGGTTTCTTCACATTTCATTATTCTCCAGAGTGACCAGTCTGCCCTGATTCACCTACACCCACTGTGAGGCCTGTGTGTCCAATCTGGAAATCCCTGGGAGAAAGACATTTCCCCATCCCTGGGTGTGATGTACAGTGTGCTCAGTCATTGTGGACCAATCCTTCAAGGTCAGCTTTGTCTGGGGCTGCTATAGGCTGGGTGTGGATTGAGAGTGTTGCACATCTGTAGCTAGTGGGTGATGTTGCAGTGGCAGAGCCTGTGAGAGGAGCCTATCAGAAGGCACTTAGTCATGGGAGCATGCCCTTAGAAGGGATGAATGCGGGTCTTCTGGGAACCCCATTGGAGATTGTGATAAGCAAGCTGATACATCCCTGACTCACTGGCCCTCTTTCTGCCTTGCCTGTGATCTTTCTCACATCCACTCCCATCACAAAGCTATCCTCCATGTTCTGATGATGGAGAAAACTCTTATGAATGCTCAGCAGGTTCTAGAAAACTCCACTCACTCACTATGTAGCCAATGCTGACCTAGTTTGCCTTTGCTGACTCCTAAGTGTCAGGATAACAGGAGCACCATAAGGCTGAACTTCCCAAGAAGACATTTCCCACAGTCCTACAAGTGCCAGGGTGCCAATGGACCCGAGGATACAAGCATGCCTCTTGAAACCCAGGTACCTAACGCCCCAGCAAAAACTCATCACCTCCAGTGATGATGGAGGCGACCTGGAGGGAACAGAAACCCACAGTGTACACAGGCTTAAGCAACAGGGTCAAGCTTTATTGGGGCAATCATACTCATGTTTGCACTGTTCACCATAGGTGGAGAAGGCCAGTCTAAAAAAGTAATCCATTTCCTTCAATTCCATCTGTATTTAGCAAGCAGCAACATATATTGTCCAATGAACACGCCCCACCTTAAGAGCACACACTAGTTCATAAAACTGTCCTCAGATAGTGTGCAACATTACAACATGCCAGACCCTTTACAAGTTCAGACTTTAGAAACTTGGGGTGCACTTGCAAAGCTGACTTTGTGTTTTTTTCAGGTAAGGAAGGCCAGTCATAAAAAAATACTTTATATGAGTTCAAGGTCAGAACTAAAATATTCAATCCTATAAAAATATCTTACTGATAAAACTATTAATTTCTAGATAAATCACTCTTTACCAACAAGTCATATAAAGTATTTCAGAAAATACCCACTAAGTCCGACAGTCTGAATAGGACTTGTCAGGGTGACTTCAAGGTTCATTTGTCACCAGGATTTTGTTTTCAGAGACGGACCACAATTTTGACTTACATTGTGTGTGAATAGTTCAGGTGTTCTACCAACACTGAACTCAGGCATCTATTCGCTGTGAGTCATTTGCAGATAAACTCTGGACCTAGAGGGAGTTGTCAGATTGCTATTGTCTACAGACAGAGCACAGGCTTTGTTAGGGCTCATCTACACTTGAAATGCTTAAGCCGGGAAACTTGTGATTACGTTTTGACCACTGTCTGAGATCAGCTCATTTATTTCATTCTGCTTGCTCTCTTTCAGGGCATGGTTGGTCTGGTTTCTCTGTGCTTGTGTTCTTTTGGATCTCCTGAAACACAGTTTTAGCAGCAGGTAACACAATTCGGCCACATTGAGCAGCATGCAAATCACAGATGCGGAAATCATAAAAACAGTAAACACCGTTTTCTCGGTTGGTCTCGAAATAAAGCAGTCCACAAGGTTGGGGCAGGGCTCAATGCCGCATTTCAGTACCCAGGGCAGGTGGTACCCATTGTACAGGAAGTAGAACACATACATGAAGGCAGCCTCAAAGATGATGCGGAAGAAGATGCTGCTGGTGTATGTCCACCACAGCGAACCCTCGATGCGCACCTTCTGCCGTTTGATGTCCTCCAGGTCTTTAAACTCATTCCTCTTCTCCCCACGTATAAACTTACGGGCAGTTTCATGTCTGTAGTAGGCCACATGCATGGCCACCAGCAGTGCTGGGGTGGACACGAAGATCAGCTGCAGGGCCCAGAGCCGGATGTGGGATACCGGGAAGAAGTGGTCATAGCATACATTCTTGCACCCTGGCTGCAGAGTGTTGCACACAAAGTCCTCCTGCTCATCTCCCCAGACTTCCTGGGCAGCCACCACAAGGATCATGACTCGGAAAATAAAGATGACTGTGATCCACACCTTCCCTATGCTGGTGGAGTGCTTGTTCACACCACCGATGACAGTGTGCAGGGTCCCCCAATCCATTGTGCAGGTCTATTCCTAAATAGACAAATAGGAGCAACGCCAATTAGTGGAAGGCACCTCTGAATTGACCGGCCAGTACTGTAGTGCAATTACAAGGTCATGTGTATCTAGGCGGTCTCAGCCTACTCTGCTATTTTTATGTGTTTTTCTGGTAAGAAATGCCCATTATATAGATGGTCTCTCATTTTTGACCACAAATAACAAATAGTGTACAAACTTCATTTCTTCCTACTATGAGGCAACATCAATCTGACAACTTCCTCACTAGATGAAGAGTTTTAATAAACAACTGTCACAGTAAATAGGAACTTGATTTCACTTTTTATATAAGAATTGTGCTTTCATATGCAATATAAGTCATCTAAATTCAATTAAACACAGGTTGTATATTAGTTGCTGTTTGTCATTAATCCAAGAACACAGCTAAACTAACATGTGCCGGAGTTTCCTTTCTTCCCTATCCAAATGAACATATTGTATCATTGTGGTTTTACTCAGGGACTCAGAACTTTTGCCATAGGTTTTAGTAATTAAGTGGTTTATCCAAGCCACAAAATAGCAGTCAAAGTCACTCCTTAGAATGACATACTCAGGTTTACTTTGCAGACTAAGAAGAAACAGTGCTGCCAGTTGACCTTATTCAGTGTATATTTATTTCTAGCTTGAACAGACCATCTGCTGCAATCATGTGTTCTCAGGAAAGCTAATATCTTCAACTACCTTCCCCAAAAGAGAATCACAAGGTTTGACACAAGTTGTTTCCTTGTTCTCTGATGGAAGCAGGCCATGTGTTGGCCGTTGCTCAAAAACACGGGTCCCATTGCACCAGGGGCCACTGAAGCCCAGGCCTTTCTTCCCTTCTAAAAGACTGATTTGACATCTCGAGAGGAAAAGGAACTTCTTTCCTCTAAGGCAGTGGTTCTCAACCTTCCCCATGCTGTGACCCTCTAATGCAGTTCCTCATGTCGTGCTGACCCTCAACCATAAAGTTATTTTGTCATTATTTCATAACTGTAATTTTGCTACTGTTATGAAACATAATGTAAATATCTGTATTTTCTGGTGGTCTTAGGTGATCCCTGTGAAAGGGTTGTTCCAACTCCAAGGGGTCAAGACTCACGGGTTGAGAATCATTGTTCTATGGCAACTCTTACTATAATTCAAACAGTTCAAACAGTTGCTTCTTAGAAGAATTGATTGGCATGTTCCTTTTCTTTTCTTTATCTCTCTCTCTCTTTTTTTTGAGGATATGTATGTGTGGGAGGTAATGAATGACAGACACTGAAAATCTTTAGAAACGATGACAGGCATGTTTTCATCTACATGGAGGGGATGAGAGTCATCCAAGTCCTTTTGTTGCTGGCCTCGGGAGGCTTTCTCTTGAAAGTAGCTGAGGAACACTGTTCAACTTCCCTCCAAGTTAACCATGGTCACCATCTAATCATGCCTGGTCCACCCACGGCCCTCACACTGCCCACCACGTCCCCGGGATGTCCTGGATTTGACTAATTTTAGAGTTTATGCTTTTCTCAGAAAGCCACCAGGTTTGGGCTCACAGAGTAGCTGATACATCCATCTGACCCTTGTGTGCTGATTTCTGTTCCTGCTGGGCCAGACGATGGGAGCTCAGGTGTCCACCATGGGGATAGAATCAGGCATGATAGGGGTATAGCTAGAAATTTCTGTGTTTTGGTTGCAAGAATTTGTCTCCTTGCCATGGCAGAACACCAGAGTGTTCACAGTTCCAAACGTTGATCACATGCTGTGACTACAAGGTTATCACCCAAACAGCTGGATTTTTAGAGCCACACCGAAACTGAGCTTGCTCACTCCCAGTACAGGGAGCAAACTCAAACAATGGTTTTAATTCTGTCTGGACTGAGTTAAATCTTAATTTCTTAATAGAAAAGAGGAGTTGAATTCCATCCTCAAGGATTTGCAAAAGTGGAGGAATGAAGCTTCTCAAAAAACTGTGTCCATTGTTATGAGGGGAGGTGAGGGTGGGAATCCAGAGCCCCAGAGAGATAGAGACAATGAACATCGAGGGTTAATGGAGAGGCCTAAATCTGTAAACACACAAACAGAAGTCAAACATCCACAGTATGAAAAGGAAAAGGCAAGTAGGGGGTGCTTCTTGGTGTATATGGCTGTGGTTAACTTTTGTTGTTGTTTTGCTTTTTGAGAAAGTCATGTAGCTCGAACTGGCTTGGGACTCCTGATTCTCTTTCCTTTGCCTCTTGAGTTGGAATTACAGGCATGTGCCACCATGCTTCACTCCAGACAGTACAATTTTAATTGGCAACCAATAAAAAGTACCTATTTATTTATTCATAATGCTGGAGACGGAACTCTAGAACTTTGTGTGTGCCAGGTGAGCACTCTACCAGCTGAACTGTATGGGTGAGCCTGACTTAAGGCACTTTCTGTTTAACCTCCAACAAGGATCCTCAATGGCATTCTCTATTTTGTAACAATTGGGTAATAATTACCATGGAAACCACGTGGACAGCTTCTTAGTGTTGTAGGCACTAGTGTTTGTAGACATCTCATAACATCAATAACAAAGTTGCATCCTCACAGCTTCTTTAATAACACATCATCACTCTGTGGTTAAGTGCTTTGTATAAGGAACATTGTTCCAGTGGGACTTTAGTGTCTCTTGTCTTACTGCAGAAGAATGACTTAGGCTACATGAGAACAGAGTGTTCAGGCTCCCTGAAGACAGATTCACTTCCTGGTTCTGGGGAGAGCCTAGCATTCTGGGGTACCTGTGGTAGTCTATACAGCAGGTGGTAGGGTCTTGAATGAGGAATTTGTTTTGCAAGAGAAACAGCTAAGGGGCCAAGGCAAACTAATTTGTGGGTCTGGACTGTGGGTCTGGACTGACAGCAATCTTGGGAATTATAGCAAAAGAAAATTCAAACCTGTACTGACCTGGAACTTAGAAGCTGGGCTGTGTCTTTAGCATTAACAGAAACTAGGAATCTTAAAAGCTGAAACAGGCTCTTGGAAAGCTATGGTTCTCAGCCCTGGAAGCCTTTTGTCAGAGGCGAGCTGAGACCCACCAGGCAGAGAAATAGATTGCTGGGAAGTCATGATCTCAAGCTCCACTAGTAAGAATATTTACTAAGTGTTCTCTCTTATTTACTATGTATTCCAAGCCCCAAAGAAGCTTTCATTTCCCTGCCATAAGTATCTGTGTGGTAAACAAACAAACAAAAAAACTTCACCTTAAATAAAATGAATTATGAAAATTAAGTTTTAGTTTTTGCCGGAAGACACTATATTAATTTTCTCCAACTGTCGCTGCCATGTTCTGGAGGCGTGTCAATATGTGGCCTGTGAGGAGGCAGAGGTGTGTAAATCTTGTAGTCACACATACTTTGCCACAACTGTTCCCCCATGAGTTATTGTTCATTTTCAAATGTTCTCTTGTTAGCCAGTTAGCTCAGAACTCTGCACTTTGCTCAACGACTTGTCCCATGGATGTGGTTTATCAAATAAATTTAGCTGTGTGTGATGGTACATACCTAGAATCCCAGCACGTGGGAACCTGCACAGAAGGACTGGAAGTTTGAGGCTACAAGATCCTGCCTCAAACAAATATTTCAGACAAGAATTTGACCTCCCCCAACCATAAATTCTTTTTGTTGCTACTTCATACCTGTAATTTTGCTATTGTTATGAATTATAATGTAAATATCTGTGTTTTCCAGTGGTCTTAGGTGACCCCCCCCCATGAAAGAGCCAATCTACCCCCATAAGGGTTGAGAACCACTGCTTTAAAGGATGACAACAACATAAAATGTCTAAGTCACCAAGGAAAACAAAGTTAAACTCAAATATTGGCTTGTTTAGCCTACTGGTCACTCAAGACAATTGGGCAAAAAGCAAGTCACCTGATTTCAACGGTTTTTCTTGAAAAGCAATAAAGATCCCTTTATTTATAACAGAGGATATGAACAAGAAAGAGGGTTATTACCACCCTCTGTAGTTCACCCTGACCCTAAGTGGCAGTACCAAGGACATGAGGTAAACTTGGGTTAGCCTTTTCCATCAGTGAGATGGATCTTGCACTTTCTTTGTCTAGACCATGTCATTCCTGGGGTGTCTTCCATAAAACCTTGGGTATCTGTCCTACATAGCATTTGCCACGGGCCAAAAGCAAGAAAGTGGAGGTCACCTTATAAGTATTAGGAGTCAGTCCAGGGTGATGGAGAAGTTTAGGGGTCCTGAGTCCTACATTTCTATATTCATGACTTCAGCTCCTGGGAAAGTCTGGCTGCTTCCTGGAGACTCTTCTGCACCCAAAGAGGGGTTGAGGTGGTGGACAGCTGAAGAGTAAAGGACTTGCCCTTCTGGCCTGCCTTATCAGTGAGCAGAGGTACCCTGGCCAATGGAAGGGCAGACTGACACTAGGGCCTAGGAAGGCCTTGAACCTTGTCTTCTTGTAGGAATTCATACCTTCATGACCTTCAGTCATAGAGAAGAGTGGAAGTACCCACCATCTGAGAAATGGTCACCAACTCACAAATAATTTTCCAAGTTACTGCAGCCACCACAATCCTTCGCTACTTGCAGTGAGCAACAATCCACTTTCCTGCCATGCTTCAAGGGGCCTGACCTGATGGGAGGAGGCTTTCCAGTGAAAATCAAGCTATTAACTCGTTCTTAGTATGCCACAGAAGCTTATTTAACCTGACAGCTTCCTGGCTTGCCTATGAGGAACAAATAAATAGATATGCTTAGCCCCACAGATGTCACCCTACAAGAATGTGGTCGTCTTTAGGCTTAAGAAGACAAATCACATCTATTTCTGTGATGTATTTAATTACAGGGCACAATTCTATACTAATTCTTGATATTATAATTCCAGTCTTAAATATTTAACTCTAAAAGTACAGCAGTGACCTCACTTTTGGGACACCATTTTGAAATGCATCTGTTCTTCCCTTTCACAAATAAGCTAGGTCTACTTTTTTCCCAGCCAGCAATGATGAAAGTTTATTATCATTTTTACAATTTTGTTTTGAGACAGTTCTTACTATGCATCTCTGACTGGCCTTGTACTCCTAGGATGACCTTAAGCTCACAATAATCCTCCTGTTTCAGCTCCTTGAGGGTTGAGATTTACAGGTATATGTCACAATAATTGGCTTTTGAAGCTTTTGGTATTTGAAGGTTGAGGACAATTTTATTAGAGTTGAAGAGGAAGCATCTGGGCTGAGGAGCTCTCAGTGTCAGAAGCTGCTGGGGGAGGGGAAGGGGGAAGAGGAGAGAAAGCCTTGCCCCTTGAGTTGTGCTCAGCAAAGGAAATTCCAAAACTTAACCATGTTGCCACTTTAGCTCCACGGAAGACAGGACCCAAACCAAACCCCTCAGCACACAGAAAGAGCTTTCCTTTTCTAAATCAAGCTACAGTACACTTCAGGAAAAAAATATCTCTTGATTATTGACTAGATCCAAGGGGAAAGCACACTCCTTACAATGCCCACGTGAGGTCTGTAGAGTCGAGGGTACAAGGAAACCAGGTCCAAGCAAAACACCCAAACCTGAGTCTTATTCCCAAGGACTCCCAGTGTGTCCAGCTCAAGAGCCAAGGTTAAATCCCTCTGTAAGGACTTCTGGCTCTTCCTCCAGCTCCTCTGGAAGTCAGCAGGGCAGTGATGATGGCACTACAACGATGTTCTCTTTATGGGTGGCAGTAGGAATGTCACCTGTGGGATGAAAAAAAAAAATCATTGTTTGCCATATTTTTTCAAGTTCTCTGTTAGTGCACTGGTGAATTTCATGGGTTGTTTTCCTTGATCACCAGGCCCATTAAAGGTAAATTTGGGTCCTGTCAGATTCCTATGCTTTGTAGCCTCCCGTCCTCATCAAAAGCACTCTCCAGGGTAGACTAATTTCTCTGTAGTCATGATAACAATGGTGATGATGATACTCTATCCCAAACCTCAAACACAGTAAGTATGCAAAGAGTGGCAAAGGGTTTGAGAAGCTTGGTACAGCCAACACCCCCTCCCCCCATTGCAGAGTTAAAAGCTTTTCTTTCTTTCATCAAGAAGTCTCTGGAAATCCCAGGTGACCCCACAGACAACCTGATAGTTAGGTTTGAAATTTAATGATGCAAACTATCAGGAACTGTGATTTCAAAACAGTGACTGGTGATGGCATGGGGTTTAGGATTTGTATACCTTGCCAACATCAACTCAATCTCAATGAAACTTTTGCTGTGTCTTTAAATGTAAGAATGGACAATCTACAAAATTATATTTCTGATTCCACTTGAGTTACAAAAAATATTCCCATTAAGTTCAACATCCCTCTTATAGGCCTTCTTAGCAGCTGCCCTTTCCAAGCAAAGCTCTGACCTCTCTCAACATTTCATTTAGGCTCAATTACAATTAAATGACTCTGAAGTGGGGGAGGGGAGCTTCCAGGGGCCCAGTTCCACTCTCCCAGATCAAGCAACAGCTCCTGGATATCCTAGCTAGGACAATATAAGATCATTCCCTAATGGGTTAAAAACAACTTTCCCCAATATGCTCAAAGTCTCTGGGATTTTTAGACAGAATCAGAAATGCATGGTGAGGACATGTAAGTCAGGATTTTCTTTCCCTTGCTGAGGTTGTTGAAAGACCCTGCCCAGGTCTCTTCCTTCTCCTGCAGTGCAATGGAGAAAAAGAACTAAGGAAGAAAGTCACCACGCCATGGGAACTTACCTTTAATGACAGCCACCAGTGACCCAGGTTGATGGTCAGCCTTCTGGGTCTCAGTAGACCTGGGGAGGTGAGTGGGAACCCTTCTCATCCTAGCACCCAGGCAGCTCTCTCCATCACTGCCTCCCCTCCTTGGCACTGATCAGACAACAACCCCCAAAGACTCTGCTGGATCCAAAGAGCTGACAAAGCTCTCCACAGGGGCAGTTCTGTGCAGTATCCTGCACTGCTAAAATCTGCATCAGGACAGGACATTTTCTTCTAGAACACTGGTTAGATTCTGCTAGAACTGGGGCAAAGAAAGCATAAAGTCTACTTGAAGGAAAACAAGGCTGCAAGCACAAACTGACGAAAGTGGCTTGTTTGGTGTCCCTTACCTCGGCTGCAGGTCCATAGCCCTTCCAGTGTCCACAGCTGTAGGTCCACACTCTCTGAGACCCGAGGCCCGGTCCCCAGGAAGAGAAGGGAGCCCAAGTGTGCAAAAACCAGGCTAACAACACCTGGGACTAGGCTCCTTCACCCGACAAGGAAATACTACCTGTGTTTGAACTTTTTAATCAGGTGTGTCACCAATTACTTTTAATTACTATTGTGCACACCACTGTCATCTTTGTTTCATAAGTTCCTGAGTCTTAATCATGCAGTCTGAACGGGCATTTCTGTTCAAAACTTATCCATTGCTCCAAGTCTTTGGGGTTGGACTGAACTTAAACATCATTCTTTCGCTCTGCTGTTCTGTTCCCCAAATCCAAATGGAACAGGTTGATGACCTCTGAACAAAGACAGCCCCAAACCAGCAAAGGAAATGGGGAAAGGAACTCAGTCCGGACTCTGGTCACTTCACATAACTTGATGTATTTCTAAAACCTGTTGTGCAAGTCAGAGGGGCACGCTACGGGCAGAAGTCAAACCAGTCGATCCCAGTTTCTGGAGCAGCGCGGGGGGAGGGGACGGCGCAGATGACAACCATCCCACAACGGTTCTATCCGCGGGGGGCGCGCAAAGGCTCCAGGATGCCGATCAGAGGCAGATAAGGATGTGGGCAGCCAAGGTGCAGGCACCCACCATACCACCAAGAGTCTGCCTGTGGCCACCGGGCCACCTGGGGACAGTCGCTACTCCTGCGCCCCACAGGGACAAATATGGCGAGGAAGGGGACAGGGCACTTCCTTCACTTGCCCGGGTTTCTCTTGAGGAAATTCCCCCACTCGCGCTTACCTGCTCGGTAGAATCCTGATCCTGGCTTGCAGCGGTGCCGACAGCTCCGGTTGGGCGGGTGTCTACGGTTCGAAGCGGGATGGGAATCGGGGACTGTGCGGGTGGAGCCCCGGTTCCCACCTGCGGCTTCTTTTAACCGCGCCCCACCCCGCCTCTGCCTGACGCCGCGCCGCACAGAAGGGCTGCGGGAGAGGAGCGCGTGCACACGACGCGCCTGCCTGCCGAGGTGCGCACCGCCCTCTCTCCAGGCCAGGGGCACGGGGCACGGGGCACGGGGCACGGGGTCCCCTTCTGTGGAGCAGGGCGCAGGGGGGCCTTCCCTGTGTGGTTAGGGGAGCAGGGCGGGTCCGTCTTAGGGTGCATATATTAGAGGACGCAGGTGAGGCCCTTCTTCTGGGGTCAGGGACCACACACAGCAAGTGTCCCATAGGAGAGGTACCAGCCTAAGCACTAGGTGCAAGATGGTTTTCTCATGGGTTGGGGACATAAGGCATGTCCCTTCTCGTGGATGTGGGTGGAGCATGGACCACGATGGGCAAGCTCAGCCAGGTTCCAACAAGGGCAGGGAAGAATTGCCCATTGAGGCCTTACTGGGGCTGGACACTGGAGTAATGAGGTGAGGGCTGCCCAGAATGCCAAGGGAACAGACTTTGGCGGAGTGGACCCAGAGCCAGCGGCATGTCTCTTCTGTTGGTAGCAGTGTTAGGGAGGCAGCTGCCTTATTTTCATCTTCCTTTCTGGACCCTTTGGGCACCCTCTCCTCAGTGCAGCCTGCGGGTTCTGTATTCATTAATGACCACTTAGGAGGCACAAGTGTTGTTTTTATTAGTCACCTGAATTCCTTAAAGCCTTCTCCATGGAAATGAAGTGGATTTCCTCTGGTCCAGGTCACTGAGAGACCCCACTGTATCTGCTGTTGCAGACAGGTGAGGGCAAGCAGAGAAGTTGATATGGGGCTCACCGGGCTGGAAATGCTAGAAAGCATTTAGGAACTCGGCTTTACAAAGCTTGCCTTATCCTAGATCAGACAAGAGATGTGTAACTTGCTTATTCCACAGAATTGGTTGGTAATTACATTGTCCCCACCGTAGCTATATTCTACTTGTTGGGTCATATTCTTTCACGAAACAAGAATTAATAGTGTTTCCTAAAATGTCTCTCCCAGGCCCTTGAAGTTGAGCCAACACTTTATGAAAACCCACCTTCTGAAATACATGAGCACAAAGTTCTCACAATAGGCCTCAAATCATGCAAATTTAGAGCATATGAGTGGTCCCTGGAATGGCCTTGAACCCAGGGATGGAGATAAAAATGAGACAGCTGTAGAGTGCCCTGGTGTTCTTCCCTGCCTCCCGCAGCATGGCCACAGCACAGGGTTAATTCCTTCTCTATTTCACTGGAAGTGTGCATTACAGGTGGGCTCAGGAAAACCAGCTTTCCTACTCCCTGCACCAAGCAGAGCATAAACTTCTTTGGAGATCACAGCATTGCAAATTTTAAGCTTCTGATTTCTTTCTCTTTTCTTCATTCCTACAGTAATGAGCAGTTTGCACACAGTAGGCATGGGTCCACAAGCATTTGTTCATTGCTTGGCGGAGCTGAACTGGTATAGCAGATAATCCTGGAAAACAACGTTTGCTTCTTCTTATGGAAAGACATGATCTCGCTCCTGGTTCAGGCTCCTTGTAGACAGTGCCTGGGCAGACCAGTGGAAGATGCTCCAGGACCACACAGAAGGAGCCCCAAGGATTGTCTTATTACACAGGTGTCCAAAGAGCAGCCCTCTCAACACAGAAAATTACATTTGTTGTTGTTGTTTAGATCATCTATGCCAGCTCAGAGGCCTTTGATCTTGTCATGTATTTCTTAGCAGTTGCTTTTATTGTTCAATTTTCAGTTGTCATCACAGAGGTTTGTTTTAGCAGAAATTCATGTAGACCTCGTGAGCTTAGTCATTTTCTGATAAGGATACAGAGATGCCTGGAGTGGTGATGGATCATGTGGATTTGTGTGTCAGCCATGAAAACTTTCAGGAGACAGATATCACTTGATTACCATCTCAAAGCATTGTACCACCCCAAGTAAGATCCTTGTAGACTTGGTTGTAACTGAGAACCTGAATCAATTTGATTATTGCTTTCCTTTGCATTACAAGGGTGATTTCTAAGGCCCTGACACTGATGGGTATAAGGTGCATGAGGTGCAGGCTCTGCAGTCTGAATGAGAAGAGGTGAGCAGAAGAGGCTCTTCTGAACATTTCTCCCCTGAGTGCCCTCACATCCCTTTGCAGAAGGAGCAGAGTGACTGTGGCAGCTGGTGCATGTGCTCAGAGATGGAGTCCTGTCCTATTGCTCAGGCTTTTACTGTCCAACTTGGAAACACAGTACCAGACTGTGTTTTCACTGACATAGTTCTCCATGTCTGGAAGAGAGGGACATCTGTGTTCTTCGAAATAAAATCTAACATTTGTCTATTCACTCAACAAAAGGGCCATATTGGATTTAGTAGACTGTCCCTCATTGGGTTTGTCTGAGTCTGTCTGCAGGTTGGATGGGGGCTAAGTGCTTCGAGAGAAGGACCATGGAAAGAAAGAGTTCCTTTCAACACATCTTACCAAAGGTACAGAACCGTAATGAACTGGCCCCTTACTACCAGTGCCCATCTTGGGCAAAGGGTTCAGTAGTGCCTGTCCAGTTTTGCTCCTTCAAGTGTCAGTCTTCCCCCTTCCACATAGTACGTCTCTGATGAGACCACTTGCACAACCCATACCTAAGGTGTGGGGATCATCTGTTAGTTTTTGCAGATGAAATTTGTCAGTTCTCCCAATCACTTCTTTTTATCATCCCATACTCATGGATATTTATTCTTCTCTTTGGATCACAACCCCATGGTATCTTCCTCATTCTGATTGTTTCCACCTTTTCACTTGACTCCTTCTTCCTCTTTGCTGTACACCTACAATTTCGTGTACATAAGCACGCTGCCGCACTTTCTGTCTGTCCTTACAAGATGCTGCAGACTTACCCTGGGTACTCTGGGCTCCAGCCCTGGACCCATCCATTTCTCTAAGGAGTTGTCTTTTTACTGGTGTTCTGCTGGATGATGCATGCTTGCTTAGTCTTTGCTGACCTTCCTGCTCAGCTGGGATACCCTGCTGACAGCAGCATCCTCTGCCTCTTCATAACTCTGTACATATACAAGGGCTGTGTTTGGTGTACTCTGGGATCTCAGTGGGTGTTTGTCAAGTGAATGCATTCAAGAAGTGTTTATTGTACTGGGGATGCAGCTCGCATTGGTAGAGTCACCTGGAATGCAGCCCTGGGTGTGATCCCCTTCACAGCCTAAACTAGATGTGGTAGTGGACATCTGCCATTCCAACACTCAAGAAGTAGAAGCAAGGGGATAAGGAAAGAGTATCCTCCACTACATAGCAAGTTCCAGGCCTGCCTGAGTTCTTTGATACTTAATTGCAAACATTAGAAGAATCTGGCTTTTAAAAAGTAAGGAAAAGAGTTGTTCTAGCACAGGTGCCTTATACATCAGGTGGTGGCAGCTAGAACATAACATTGCTTTGTGTAAAAATGGTTTGGTCTGATAGTGAAGTGTGACAAATGCTGTTATACAGGGTGTCAAATACAGAGTTGTTCCCCTCCTCATTCAGCCATGCGTTGAAAGGCTTCTACAGAGATGCACAGGGAATGCCACTATGGTTCTTTACTCTCCAGGCCCAGAAATTACATTTTGAAGACACCTTGCTCAGCAAATATCACATTCTAGGCCACAATGCCAATGCATTTTCCTGTTGGAGGTGTGTCGCTAGGCCATGCCCACACTTTCTGCTGTTGAGTATAGAGGGAGGATCGCAAAAGCTGGGAGATTTGAATGGTTATTTCCACCCAAGAGCTGGATACATCGGCCTTCTGGGAAAAACGATCTGAAGTGTCTGCAATATGGCATTTTCCCAAGAACTTCTGGACTCTGCATCATTGGTTTCTTGCTGCCTAAAGTGCATCCAGCCTACAGTCCTAATCTGAAATCTCACAGTTCATCACTGAGGGAAACTAAGACAGGAACCATGAGAGCATGCTGCTTACTGGCTTGTTCTCTAAAGCTTTCTCAGTTTGTTTTCTTAAACAACTCAGGGCCATCTACCCAGGATAGCACCACCCACTGTAGGCTGGACCCTCCCACATCAATCATTAATGAAGAAGATACTCCACAGACTCTCCACAGGCCAATCTGATGGGGGCAATTCTTCAATGGAGGTTCCCTTTCTCCAGGTGACTGTAGTTTGTGTCAAACTG